AAGTCGAACATTATTTTCGTTATGTTTCTATCTTTCGTTATCATGGATTATGCACACTCTTCAGAACAAGAGGACAATAAATTCACTTAATGAACCTCAATATTTGTCTAGTTAAGTTTAATTTCAAAAACTATTTCTGAATTGAGATTTTGATATTTTGCATTTGTAATGGATTTATATTGTTGAGTGATGAGCAAAATGACAGCAGTCTTGATCACTTTAAGGTGGCATGTCATTTTTTATTTTTTCACAGTTTTGCCCGTCAGTACTTTCTGTTTAAACTCAAAATAGATCTTAAAATAATATAGAGAATTATCAATTAATTTATTAAAAAATTTTCTGCCGTGTCAACATCTAAGGTCATTAGCGGTGTATTCAAAATACAGCGACTGGGTGGGGACTAAGCTCCCAAGTATAGCATTATGATAAACCATTGTGGCGAAAAGGGTAAAAATGAATTAACGGGTGGGATAAGTGGATATAATGAGATGAAGAAGAGAAGGAGAAGAAAAGACCGTGCAAAATAAGACGAGGTGATGGCTGAAGTCCAAGGCAGAAGGTAATCAGTCTCGTCTCCTAAGCCCCCCCCCCCCAAGGCGTGGGGGGTGGGTACATACAGAGAAATGTGCAATAAAGATAAATGTTTCTGGGTGCTGTCTTTTATTCGAATAACCAGAAAAAAATATATAAAATGAGATAATGAAGTAACCACATGCCAGACTATTTTGTATGATCTACTCACCCAGTCTTTATTTTGCAAAAGTGTACAGATGTAATTTGTGAATTTTTAGTAACCAAAAAAAAAACACCTAATGGTTGTTGTAAACGACTCTGAATTTTCACTTAAAAGTCTTCATTACCTTTGCAGCATATAACATTTAATTTATCTCATGTCTCCTGAGAATCATGTGTTGCTCCAAGTTTATTTCAATGTTACATCACCTCTGCCTGTATTATCTTTTCTGAAATTTTCTGCCAATTATACACCCTAATGATATAAATAAACAGGACTTTAAAATTTCCCATAATAGAAATCAATAGTACCCATATGCTAATAAATATCTATTTAATTACATCTCCTTGCCTGTTGTTAGGGCAAAATTAATTCATTTTTGTTTAATTGTGGGTGAATAAGTATAATTTCTAATCAAAATATCAAAGTAAATTCAGCACATTGTACATATTGTTGTCACCCATTTACCCTCCTCCTAAATAACCAATTAAGAAAGGAACTAAGAATATCAGGGAGAAAAGAGAATGAAACAACTCAAATACACTAAAATATTTATTATGGCCTATAAATATATTTTCAACAAAACTTTCAGTACACAATATCTTGTGCAATGCTTACAACACATAGCATCCAGATAGTTTGTATGGTATGTATCTTCACTCTCAGCCACATCATGATATATATATATATACTTTTTGGGATAAACTAAAATTTCACAATGAAACAAATCTCCCCTAAAAAAAATAAGAAATGCCAAAATAATTAAACCTTTCCATCGTGGATATTACAGTAAAAATCATTGGTATTTAAGATATATCATGTGCAGCCAACTCACAGTATGACAAATATATATGTACAAATCACAGGGATATTGTTTCACGTTAACAATGGGACCAAGCTTGTATCTTCAAAATCATAACTCCAATTTAGATAAAAGTAACAAATACAGGAATTGCTATTAGGAAAAAAACTCCAATCAGGCAATTCATTATATACATTAATCAGTTCACCAGATTACAACACAAAAATTACTGGAATGTATTCAACACATTCTTATTGAAAAGAATTGGTGTTATCCTGGTATGTACTGTACATAAAATTTATGGCAAATGCTGAAAAAAATGTTACTTGCACAATAATCAGCATTAATTACACAAGCAACTGGCTAAGTACCTTCTTTTCCTTCTAAATTAAAAATAAACAAAGAAAAAAAAAAGAACAATCAACCTTAAATTGACTAGAATACTTGTAGAGAAAGGAAACTCCCACCGAACTTCTGTTTCAATAAATAACAGTATAAAATTAAAGATTAAATTTGTATTCTCTTTTTAAAAGTATGGATACTAAGTTTTCCAGACTGCAAACCATCAACAACAGGTTTGCAAATACTCTTTAAAAAAAATGATCCTGTACCAAACACATCGATCACTGGCATTGATCCTGAAATTCTATGTACAACCTTTTTTTCATTCCAACTTAACTACATCTTACCCCCAAACAAAAAAACTTAATGTGGCATCACAGTAGGCAACAGACTTCACATTAAAAGGACAAAGATTTAAAATGCAAGATAATGCTAGCAATCCAATAGCATGAACTTGATGTGCACAACTCCATGTTACTCGACTGCATTGCAACTGTGCTCTATAATGCATACTTGACAAAAGCCTTCATCATGCAATTTTATTAATTTTGGTATGATTTTCTGGTAACAGGTTGCAAAGTCTAGATTCAGCAAAAATTATTCCATATGGCCTATTTGGCACGAGAAAGACTGCAGGCTTTAATGCCCAAGATATGGCAGATACTGTATCTGAATACGGCATTACACTTCATCTATCAGATTTCTCAATATATTTTAGTAATAAAGATATTACACAACCTCACTGCTTATCATATGTAGAATTTCATACACTCATGGTTGAAATAATGCCCTCCTTTACCAGTAATGAATATGAATATGATTATAAATTGAAAATACCTGGCAGGTTTAAAATATTCTTATAAACTTCTATCAGATATGTTAATGAGATAATATCATTTACAAAGACGAATTATAAGTGAAGGTGATTTTCTTCAATTTAACACCAAAGTATTAAAAAACATATTAATGAAAAAATAAGAAAACAAAATTCATGCTTCATAAACCATTTATGTAAAATAGATTAGCTGGATATTCCACTTAAAATAATCTGAAATGCTTCCAATCCTCTGGAGAGAGAAAAAGAGAAAGAAAAAAAAAAAGCACAAACAGATAATGATATAATTTCTGGTCCCTTTGACATCTTACTCTTAAAGATTGAATAATGAATGAGGATTACTTAGTGTCTTACAGTAATACATGTAGCATCTCAAAATATGAAGGCATTCAATATCCAACAAGGCCTGGAGTTGGAAATGTTGGTAAGGCAAGACTTTTATTTCTTTTTCTTTAAACAAAAATAGCATGAAATGTCAGCATTAATTTTCTTTAGCTTTTTTTTGTTTTGTTTTTTTATTGAGCGTAGAAATGACTTTCATTACCAATTATGTTCAATGACGATGAAATATTAAAACTTTTGAAATACTGCAGAACTTTGTCATTGTGTGAAATATGGATAGACAGAATATCCACAACAAATAAGAACATCTAAAACCGTGTATGCTTTAGAAGGTATTTTAAATCATGATCACAAAGAAAAACAAATATAAAGAACAAAGATAAACAATCATGATTTGCATCATTCAAGACTTGTGTCACATCTGCATTCATTGCAAAAATGTATTCCTAAAATTACAGCAAACAAAGTCCATATTTGTCACAGCATTCATTGGCACAACTTCCAGACTTGCGCAAGTATGGAAGCACATGACAAAACCACGAAGGCACATAATTGCAAGTCCCCTGAAGAAGTAAGCTAAACCTATGTAAAAGTACTTTCTCTATCTATGCATTCCAAAAACAGTCACATCTTAGCTGGGAGCATCTTTGGCTTTGACATGTTAAGTACCCTTCACTACAGATTACTGGAATGTTGAAAAAATCACTTGGATTATGTCACCGTTAATTACCTTTTCTCCCATTCACTGATTGATTTTTAAATGTGCTTAGAAAAAAAAAAGAAAAAGGAAAAAACAAGTTGGATAAATCCTCAACTTATATGAAGCAAAAAATCTGATATGTACCTTCCTTATACAAATGTTTACTATAACAAAGTGACAAGATAACTGTAGCCATGCTCTTTGGAATATTTTGGCTTAAGCCCAAAATCAAATATCAAGCTGTTAAAAAATCAATATGCATGATTTTCGTTGACAACTGCACTTTACGTACCACTGTTTTATCGTTCTTCTATTGTATCAAGTTAAAATCTTCCAGATGAAGGAGGAAACTTATGAGGCATGTATAAGCATGAGCAAATCACAAAGTAAAAAAGAAAAGAAAACAAAAAAATCATTACGATAAATAAAATTATAACAATGATAAATAAAACACTACATATACTACTTATGAGTAGATTCTTTTTTTTTTTTTTGACATTTTTTTCTGACACTGTTACACTACCTGAATTTCCTGAGGTGGTGCTTTACTGGCGACAAATTAATAGAAAACTAGACCTGCCTCATAGCACTGAAGCCACATCTAAGCACTTTCTGGCAATCGCACCCCATTTTTACACTCATCAGTTGATGGATAAAATGGTGTACATATTGCAGTGATTGTCTTCAATTTCTTCTTCTTTTTCTTTTACCCTTCCAATCTGCAATGTGCTGCATCACTTCATTCCCTCAACCCTAACCAAGTTGCAGAAAATCAACAGTCATTTGCTTGGATCCCCATTTCTACCTTATCTCCACAGAGCTTGGTGAAACACCCCTTCTACCACTGTCACTCACCGGACACCCTTTCCTCACATGGTTCTAGACAAGAGTACACAAGGGAACCACTGCTCACTCGTTTCCTTTTTTACAACACTACGAATTTCTGCCACCTCGTGGATCGCTCTCACACTTCGGCTTCTTCTGTGGTTGTTAGGACCGTGGTGGTGGTGACCATGGAGCTTAGGGGCTCTGAGGCTTCATCACCGGTCTCTGCCTCATAGTTGGGCCTGGTTGGAAGAGGTGGGTTAGCAGGTGTCCTCAGGTGGAAAGCGCATGTGAGAAAATAAAGACAGGACTACATGAAGAATTATGACAGTTATAAAAACTTATACATTCTTTAGGAAAAAATATTAAGAGACAGAGAAATACACACATATATATAGAGACAGAAATAAATTACAATATG